TGTACATGTAATGTTGTAAACAACACCGCCATATGACGACGAATGATATCCCCTCAACAGCTCCATCCAGCTCCATCCAGCTGCTTCTCCGTCTTCTTCTTCAATTCAACAAACCCAGGTAGAACCAATGTAACTTACCCCTTCCTCCAAAACCTACTCAACGTCCAACCCCGGCCTCATCGTCTTCCTCACAAACGCCCTCCTGATCGCAAGACTAACCTGCGTCCACCCCACCACTTCATTATGCCCTCCATACCTCACAACCTCCAACTCCACCATCCTATCTCCCTTGTCGTCCTCGACCTTCTTATACGCAAAAGCACCCCTCTTGACCCTATTCGCCCCTTGAATCGTTCTCCTCTCCTCCTCCGCCACAACCCCTTCTTCCGTCAACATTTGCGTAGCCAGTGGCTGGAACAACGCTTCAGATTCCCAGTACGTGATATCCTGGTCGTTTCGTGCGTGCAGGAGAGTAATGTGGAAACCGGACTTGTTGGCTGAGGCGGTGGAGATGAGGGCGCGTAGGCGGGTGAGGGTGGGCCAGTGGTCGACGATGCGAGTGGATAGATAGTTTGCTATCCTGGGGTAGCCTTGCAGTGGTTTTAGGATGGGGAGAACGCCGCCGATTTTGTAGGTCTTGAGGAGTTGGGGGAGCGAGGTGAAGGGGGCTACTAGGACGATGCCGGCGAAACCTTCAAAGTTACGGGATGGTTTGAATGTTACAGATGGGGATGTAATGGCCAATGGGAGGTGCTCGGAGGTGGAATTGGTGAAGTAGAGCGCGCTGGCGGCTGTTACGGCGGTGCCGAGGCTCTGGCCCAGGAGAACGGTGCGTGTGCTTGAATGAGAGAGGTCCGAGGTGATGTATGAAATCAGGCTTAAGGCGTCGGCTATTAGACCGCTTTCAGTGGGGATATGCGGGGAGTGTGTGAGCGTGGAGAGACCGAAGCCCCGGTAGTCGCAGGTTACGAGGTGAGTTTTTGGGATGCCAGAGACGGAGCGGTAGGTTGAGGGGCGGTAACCTTGGGCTATGTGGCCAGCGTTCTGTTTGGGTGGATTAGAATGAGTGATAGATAAGCTGGAAATATTAAAAGGGGTTAACGGTGGATGAAGTGACGGAAGAATGAGAGAGAAACCATGTAAAACTAAGAAAGAAGAGTCGATATAGTCTGAGATGAGAGTTTGAGATGTGATAAGACCAAAGACTCTGGAAAGAAAGGGACAGCATGCCAAACCAAAAGTCAAGAATCGAAAGAAAGCACAACCTACACCATGAAAGTTGACCACAACCCTACTTTCCGGGTCGCTGCTCAACAGCTTCTCTCCTATCGTTCCCTTCAACTCCTCTGCAACTTCCCCCGAAACAGCAGCAGTAAAAAGCTCATGTTCATTCTCCAGATAAACATCTAGAGGAAGTACATGCCAGCAAAAGAGCTTCTCTTGATCCGCTGTAGTAAGCCAAAAGGGTTGTACTTGCCCCTCTACACATGGGTACTTAGTACAGCGATAGAACAAATCGAGGAAGAGTTACAGATGCACTTACTCGCAAAGCCGAATTCTTCGGGATTCGTCACGTTGTGGTAGAACCCCGTGTGAAATTTATGGGCATAGAGAGCGCTGAGAAGACATTAGAATCGACTCCAAACGTCATCTCATCTGTCATGATGAGAGCAAAACGTACTGCCTTTGTACCGTGGGATTGACCAATAGGCCCACAAACGCGGCCCAGACAATGCCTAGAATGGCAAATGTCCAGTACGCTTTTGTAAAGATGGCTTTGAGGTTGGGCATGATTTCAGTCACAGGACGTGGTCTTGCGCTGCCTAGATACTTTATACTGTCGGGAATGTCGACGCAGAGAAAGTACTGCGACCGTAGCACTGGACTCAGGTAAAGCAAAAAGGATTATGGTGACGTTGCGGAAATGGAACGCGCGAGGGCACAGATGCATGGAGATAGGCAACTGCGGGTGATCTAACCGGGATAAGCAGGCCGCAGCGAAGATCTTGGCATCGGAGTTGAGCGATGGCAGCTCCAGATCTCATGTGTAACGAAGAGCATGCTTCAGACAATACCGCCTCACGTATCTCGCAACCGTATATCAATGACACGCGATACCGGAGCAGAATGTGTGTAGTTTGACGCTAAGAAATGGGTATCATTTGTACTCATACACACCGCAAGACTATTCCAAGATTTCCACAATATCGGCACACGATCAGACGATCTCATACAAGACTCTTCTTAGGCCGTCCAGCTTTCTTCTTTTCTGCCATACTACTGGCAGACCCACCCATCCCTCCCATGGCGACGTCCTGAGTCGGCGTTGCAACCGCAGGCGTCACGTCGCCGCTCCTAATCCTCTTCTCTGGCAACTCATCGCCGTCTTTGGGCAGTCTGAAGGCTAGATATGTCTCCTCTGCCCTTTTGCACTTATCAAACACCTCGTTCATGTATTTCTCCACGACATGCGGTGGTCGTATCGAGCGCGGCAAGGCGCTTGCGATTTCGTCGCCTTCATCGTGCTCGATTAGTAGAAGGACAGTAACTGGCTGGTAGAATTCAATGTTGTCTATCTCATTCATCTCGTCGAAATCTTCGATTCGCTGGGGCGGTTTAGGCGGCACGAAGGTTGCCGAGGGGGCTGATGCGGCAGGTTGTGTGGACGCAAAAGCAGGGTTTGTGGGGCTGGGTGTTGGTATGATGGCGTTCGGTGGGGGTGCGTCAGGCATAGCATTAGTCGCAGTACCGAGAGTCGGAATCGGCGTCGGCATTAAGTTTTGAGCAGAGGCAGACGGAGGTTTGACGACTGGATCCGGCCTTGGCTTCATCTTGGTGATGAGAAAGGACAGCTTTGCGCCTGTGCCATTGGGAAGCCATTCCATGAAACTATACGAAGGGAAGTAAAACTTGTCTTCGCTGCCATGGACAAAACTGAAGACCAACGGGCGATATGTCGTCCTCGGGGGTGGGTTGTAGGTCGATAGCTGCGGCGGCGGGTGGTATTGCGGCGGTTTGCTGAAGTTGTTCGGATAGGGTGGATATGGCTGTTGTGTAGGCGAGGGTTGCTGCGTCTGTCCCTGTGGCGGGACCGGACTGTACGGCTTGGGCGTGCTGGGCTGCAGAGGCTGCTGGACTGGCTGGACTGGGCGGGGAAGCGGAGGCGGCGGCGGCGGCGTAGGTTTGGGGGGTTGCGTTGGCGGAGTTGGTTTGGGCGCTTTTTCCTCCTTCTGCCTGGCCAGAATCGCCGTCAATTCGTTGATGTGTGTCTGGAAGAACTCGAGCTGCTCCTTGCTTGCCGAGCCAGCGGCGACTATCTTCATGACAGCCTTCAGCTCGGGATCTGTTCCTGCTCTCGCGGCGAGCATGTGTATGACGGGATCGGGGGCGGGGGCTGCGGGGGCCTGAGGCGGAGGCGCGGCCTGGACAGGTTTGGGGGGCTGGGGTGGGCGTGGCTGGGGCTTCTGCTGTATGGGCTGGCCACCCTGGTATTTGGTGTGTTGGTTGGGCTGGTTGTGGTTTGGCCAGGGAGCATAGGGCGATGGCGCGGGAGGCTTTTTCTGTGCTGGTCTGCCCACCTCGCGCGGGCCGTAGAGGCGGATAGGCAGCGTGTGCGGCTCTATGACGAGCTTCACGCTCACCCGGTCGGCACCGACCTGGGGGAAGTTCTTGAGCAGCTCCTTCTGTCTCGCCGTCTTGGCCTTGTCCTCGTCGGTGCGGTCGGCCAGCTTCTTGGGCTGGTTGAAGTGGGCATGGAAGGTGCGGAAGTTGGCGCCAGACAGCCAGACAGCCTTGGAGCGCTCGAAGGACGTCTCGAGGACGCGGCTCTGCTGGATCGTCTGCCATTCGCTCGATGGAAGGTGGAGGGGCTGTGGCTCGCGCAGTGTGGGCAGCGGCGCGCCGTCGACCAGCTGGAGGGGCAGCGTCTGTCGCGGGGGCAGCGGCGCGCCCTCAGCAACGGGCGTCGAGGGCGGCGCGTCTTTGACGGCGAGGCTGGTCCGCTTGCGCTTCAGGGCGGCTTTGGCGGCTTTGGCGGGCTTGTCGTTGGGCGTGTCGGGGGCAGCCGGGGCGGCGTCTTCGCGGGCGCGCGCCCTCGTCGACCGTCGGGGCTCAGACATGTCGTGTGCGGGTCGGGGTCGGGGTCGTGGCCATGGCCATGGTGTCGTGCACAAGGCTGTTGCTGTTGCTGCTGAGTTGCCCTGACGCGCTCCCGTGCAGCGGCGCGCTAGCCTCCGGCACTCCAGGGCTGCCTCACGCTCGCTGACGGCATGCGCTGCTACTTCGGCCTTGGCTGCAGGCTGCGAGATAAGCCCGAGCCTCTGTCCACAGCCCGGGTCGATATCCTTGCCTTCATGCAGCCTGACTCCGCTGACTCCGCTGCCTCCGCTCGCCTCACGCTTCAGTCCAGAGCCATGTCATGTTACAAGAAAGCAGACGAGCACGGGAGTTGGTGGTGGAATCAATCAAATTGTGCCTTCTACTGTCTAGTCGCACTACCCAAAAGAGAAAAGGAATGTGCCCTCAAACTGGAGAATGGTCCTGCTTCGCGCTTTCCCCTTTCTTTCAATCTGTTCTTCAATCTGTTCTTCAATCGAGTGCTTCCTGCTCAACGCCATCCACCCCAACATGCTGCAGTAGCGACGCGAAAGCTCGCGCATTAAGCCTTCGCAGCATCCTTCCAGCGGGGCTTCAGCACAACTCTCCACTTGCCATCATGGAACTGCATCGTGATGAATTGCCGGAGTTGGATCTGCTGGTATCCAGCCTCCTCGAGAGCAAAGCGAGAAAGAAGATTGGCCGAGACTGTGCGCATCTCTGCGTATGCGAAGCTGGCCATGCATGTTAGTGCGCTGCTGCAGCAGAAGATGAGGGGGAAGGTAACATACTTTTGTCCGATACAATTGTGTCGGCCGTTGGAGAATGGAAAGTAAGCATCCAGACTACAATCTCACGTTAGAAAATGTCCACATCGAATCTCTCGTCTCATCACCAAGGGCGACTTACTCAGGTTCGGGTGCGTCCTCTCTTTCCTCACCTTCCAGCCACCGCTCCGGCCAGAACCTCTCCGCCTGAGGCCAGTACCTCTCATCACGATGGAGCGCTCTGTAGCTGGCCGACACAATCGTGTAAGGCGGAATCTCGTTGCCGTTGATGTTGTGGCCTTGGTCTGTGGTACGGCGACCCAGTTCCGAGGCGATGGGGTTCATACGCAGGTTCTCCTTCAGACAGGCTTCGAGGTAGCGATATTGTGGGTCTGTGCGCACCGTCTTTGAGTCTAGGATGGGGTCATTGGGGCCAAGGACGGGAAGAGAAGCGAGTAGCTTTTCGAGAGCGGCGGGGGTTCGTGCGAGTTCCACAAACAGGCATGCCATGGTTCCTAAGGCGCCTCGTTAGCTACTATGATGCGCAGTGGAGAGGGAAACTCGAAGGCCGCAACCTAGGAGCTAAGGAGTGGCAATGGGGCATGGATGAATCTAACGTACCAGACGTGGTTTCCGATCCAGCGAGAAGGAGCTCAGACATCTGATCGATGATGTCCTGGTTCGACATACGCTCTCCCGTGTCTGGTCGCGCGCCCTCGTCCAACATGTGCTGGAGGACATCGATGCGTTTCTTGTTCTCGTGTCCTCCCTGAGCTGCCGCGCGTTCGTCGACGAGTTCGCAAATCGCAGACGTCATCTCCTTGGGCCAATCAACCTCCCACTCATATCCCATGCGCCGGAGGAATCTCTTCACAAAGACCAGCCCATACCTCTTCGCCTGACCATTGAAGATGGCGTCGGGAATCTTGCTCCAGCGCTTGTCCCTGCCGGACAACAGCTTGCTGGGATCGAAGATCTTGTCGATCTGCCCGAAGCCCTTACCAAATGACGACTCGCCCATGATGTCTAGCGCAAGACAGTGCAAGTCACGCATAAGGTCAGTCTCGAAGTCGCCGTTGGGGTTGGACTTGGCATCTTGAGCGATAGCCTTGTTGACTTCAGTGTAGTAGTTGCTGAGCAAGATCGATGTGCACGCTTTGAAGAACGTGTCTAGCTTGTCGACAGAAGAGACAGTGAAAGCTGGGCTGAGGAACTTCTTGAGGTTGCGGTGGGGAACGGGGCGGCTGTGGGTTTTCGGCGTCAGCTACCGTCGTTTTCGCAAGGAAATACGGGAGACTGATACTTACATCTCTCCAAAGAGACCGGGACTTTTTCTGTCTCTCGAGATCTCAGCATACATGGTAACCTTGGGTAGATCAATCGTGAGAAGAATCTGCTTCATAGCTCCCTTATCAGATATCCAGAGCTGTCTTGGTCCCAAACGGATGACATCGCCGTACTGCTTGTGCATCTTCTCGACATATTCGTGGATCGTGCCACGAGCGAAGAGCCATCGCAGATGCAGGGCCGTATAGGGCGCATACCACGGTCCGGGGAAGCGCTCAAGGCCAGTCTTTTTCGTAACAGATCGAAGGTAAGAAAAGCTGATCACTATGGCCAAGAGACTTGCGACTATATTGCGCGGGTGCATCTCGATGGTGGAGAACTGCTCTGCAGAAGGGAGAGAGTCCATGGTCGGCATGAGATGCCATGGAAAAGTTGGAGTAGAGACGTTCATTGTGAGCGATCAAGGTAGATACGATGAAGAGGTATGAGATGAAGCGTTGGATTAACGGCTCCTAACGTGGAAGTGGCGTCTTATAGTCAGGTCGTTTGATCAATCGCTATAATACTCTCCCGAAGTCACTCCCCCTGCGATCCCGCCAATTTCACGCACGTTGGGGATCGCCGTGGTTAGAACCTGGAGACCCTCAAAGCTAGGTTGATACAGAGTCCCCAGACGATTGCCATACACTAGTTGCTAGATCGCAGGCTGATCAGTGGAGGGTAAACTAGACCCCCACAAGTCTGGTACCGAAAACCGACCGGCAGTAGGGTAAATGACTCAGTGAATATACCGACTCTTTCAACGAGACTACAGACAAGTTTTAACCCGGAAGCATCATGGGCACAAGTTTCGTCGGCAATGCGACTAGACTTGAGGCTGTTGAATACAACGGATCTCAGCCTCAGTGACGTAGCGTAGTGTCGATTAACTTCAAGGACTGTTCGCCCTATGCACGTAACGTCAGTGCATGTGTTTCTAGCTTCATTCTCTGTTTGACTTCGCCCACGTTCCTCGTCATATCCAGGTAGATACTTCGGCAGTCGGCCGACGCTAGCTAGACGGCCGGTCAGAGTAAGCTGACTGGTTTTCCGTGGCTATTGGGTGCTCAGGACTTGGCTTTTTGCGTCGTCTTATCTCAATCGGCACTTGTTGCACCAAACAAGTAGTTGCCGTAATACGGTAACATCCACTGACATGTGACAAACCCCACGAGGATGGTGTTGACTTTGGGCACCGGGCCTGGGTTCAGGTCATTGGGGATCGCCCCCAGGTCGGTGAGAGCTTGGTGTGTGCTGACAACACGGTCTATGTGCGCGTGGTGTCGTACTCTAATTACATCCGGTCTATCCTCTTTGCATCGTAGCCCACAGACCACGAGTCACCTCTGATTATCGCAATACTAACGACACGAACGATGCCAAAAACTATCTTCGCATAAGGAACACCAGACAATCAAGGCGACTGGGATGTAGGAAGCCTGCTTGCAGTGATCTTGGTATTCGGCCCGCACCGCTGCAGCTATCATGAGGTATCATGTTGAATGAGGCCGATGAATGCCATATGCGTTATTCGGAGATATGGGTGTCTGAGATGAAGGACTTTGCCCTAGCTGCATGACTCTAAATTCTTCCATGCTACAGTTGTGTAGTGCAGTCACCAAGGGTGTTGAGTTTGTATTCAGCCGCGTCAGCAGCTAGATGTGTTATCATGCCGATGGAGCGGGCCGTATCGGGAGAATAGCGAAACTTTGTTAAGACAAAGTTCCAACGGCGGGAATGCAGTACCGATGCAAAGCAAAGTTCCGGAGAGAACTCCGCTGCCTCCATTGGAGTGCGAGGCCCCGGGCAAGATGATGTCTTTCGCCCACGCAGAGCAGGTATGTCGAGGTGCATAGTATTGACCCAGCCGTTGTCTGAATACCCTCTTAGTAATCATCACTTCAAAAGTAGGCAGGTTTCCCAGGCAATCCTCGGACCGCCAATATATCATCATCGCCGATATCTCGTACTTGTATCACGTTGTCGTATCTTCCAATCATGGCTCGGGAAAGGATTCTGCTTGCCGGCGTCACAGGATACATTGGGGGCAGTGTGCTCCACCAACTGCTTCGCAGCAAACATGCAGCGATCAAAGACGCTGATATTACGTGTCTCGTTCGAGGCCAAGAAAGAGTTGCACAGCTCCACGCTGCGTTTGGTGACAAGGTCAAGGTTATCGGCTTCGAAGGTCTGGACGATACTGACCGCCTTGTCGAGATAGCAAGTCAGTACGACGTCATCTTCAACATGACGCTCGGTTATCATCTCGCCAGTGCTGCGGCCTTTATCGAGGGTCTTTCGTTGCGCCAGAAGTCCACTGGCAAAGATGCTTGGATGGTCCACACTTCAGGTGTCTCGAACCTTGCGGACCAGCCACTCTCGGGTGTTCACGTTGAATCAAAACCCGATCTGGAATTCGACGACTCGAGGGACAACATCTATGCGTATGAGAAGTCGCGCAACACAGTAAAAAAGTACATTCAACGCACAACGGAGCTTGGCATGATAGATGCTGGACTCGAGTCAGGCGTGAAGACTGTCGTTCTCATGTCTCCATTGATCTACGGGGTGAGCGACGCCTCCCCGCAAACTGCGGCCCCGCACGATATTGACACCTCGTCTAGGTTGGAACGGGCTTGTGGAATAAGCGTAGTCTGCAAGTTCCTCGATTGGCCCGAGCGGCGATCTCTGAAGGGGAAGCCATCGTTATCGGTGACGGCAAGGGCGTGTGGGACAACGGTACTATTACCGCCGAATCTCTGTCACAAACGCACGCTGATCTCTTGCTCTAGTTCATATCGAGGACCTGGCAGAGCTCTACGAGCTGGTACTCGTGGAGATCTTGTCAAAGGGAGGCGCTTCTCTGCCCAAGGGGAAACAAGGCGTTGTTTTCAGCGCACATGGGCGTCACACGTGGATCGAGGTGTCGCAGGCGGTTGCAAATGCAGCATTCGACGCCGGCGTAGTCAAGAGTAACACGGTAAAGTCTGTTTGTCTCGCCGATGGAGCCAAACTCTTGACTGGTGGTGTTGAGCAAGTTGCTGAGCTGGGGTTCGCAAGCACATGCAGGACTCGCAGTGAAATCGCTAAGAGACTGGGTTGGTGCCCCAGAGCAGGACTCGAGACGTGGGAGCGAGGCTTCGTGGAAGAGGTTAGTGCGCTATCGAAGCTGTGAAGCGGAAGCTGTCAAGCGGCTCGATGAGTGCGGAGGCTAGTCGGTGCGAATACGGCTATACGGACCCATGTTGTACATAAGCTAGCCAAGATAACACATGACGTGCTTCGAGACGAGAGACACAAAACGATGGTGATGTTGGCGATGCCTGTTGACTGCAGGACAGCGTCATCCCAAACGTGCATCGGGTCAAAGGGAGATATCGGGCACGCTTGGCGAGAAGACCAAAGTGTCCGGTGTAGATGATGCTACCCAGGTGAGGTGGCCCGTGCGTGTCGGAATACCCCATACGACATTCTCGTGCGTTCTCGCGCCGGCCGATTAGGTTTGCAGCAACGGCATGCAGAGAATCGAGGTACAGCATCCCGAGGTCACTGAGCACGGCCGCCGAAAGTTAAAGTATGGTTAAATGGACGACGAAGAGGCGAAGAGCCGAGGGCGCGTGGAGGCGCACAGGCGGTAGAGATTACCGAGGCGCCAAGTCGTTTCGGAGCTAGTTCCAGGGTCCAGCAAATGTGCCTGAACCCTTTTTTTCCTGCGACCACGACATCGGGACCCCACAGTGGTAGCATTAGTCTGCTTGCTACCCAGACAAAGACTCCTCCCTCCTGCTTTCTATGGCTAGGATGCGTCTGTTGAGCATACGGGCCCTCGCGCCGTGAGATAAGCGTGGCAACGGACGCCATGGCGTGTAAAAAGCCGTTTTGAGCCGCCGTGTTGCGCAAACTCAATCCCAAACAGTTTCTCCGGTACTTATCAATGGTATATACATGGTTTGCATAGCTAGGCTAGAACCTGCGATATGAAAACCGCCGAAACTGAGCAAACACTCCTGGTTCCATGTGGGTCGCTGACGCGAATGAGATCTGCAGTCTTGTTCACGTTGGGTACGAGATTGGCAGCCATGTGTAGACCGTTCCAACGGCCGCCCAGCCCTGTCGAGTAAAGGAGCAATTACGCGGACGCCGTTTGGTTGCTCTTGATCTTTCACACCGACTTTTGCGCGTAAACGGGCCTTGCGTGCCGCTCCAGCATTCCATCCCTCGATTTTATCGTCGGGCCGCTCTAGACTAAAGCTTTGTCTCCAAAGCTAAGTCCAGGACTTACCTAGGTACTTTCCGCAACACTGTACTCCACATAGGGGTCCAATGTGATCCACTGAGCGTCTTCGTCTTGCCTTGTTGAGAACGCACCAAGGGCCCTTTAGGACTGTGCAGCTTTGTCGTCTGAGTAGATAATCGTGCCCTCTCCCTTCCTCTTCCTTTCTCCGTCTCTCTCACATTCTTCCTCCACCACCCACCATGAGTGCAACCACAACCCAGACGCTCACCTCGCCGGACATGGCACCGGTTGGAGATGCCTCTGTGCCCGGAATCAAGGCTCTTCGAGAAGCCATCCCAGAAAAATGCTTCGAACGCTCTCTTCTGAGATCCCTTTCGTACGTTGCACGAGACCTCGTGGCGGTCAGCGCCTTGTTCTACTCTGCCGTCTGCTTGACACGTCTTGAGTCGTCTTGGGCCATTCCGCTCTGGGTCCTCTACAGTTTTGTCCAAGGTCTGTTCTTCACAGGGCTTTGGATTTTGGCCCACGAATGTGGCCACGACTCCTTCTCAAGCCATCTCCAAGTCAATGCGGCAGTTGGTTGGGTCCTTCACAGCATTCTTCTTGTCCCATTCTTCTCGTGGAAGTTCAGCCATTCCCGTCATCACCGTTACGCAAACCACATGGACAAGGACACCGTCTTCGTGCCCAACCGCAAGCCAACTTCCGAGTCAAAGGCCGAACCGAGCTTCTTGACACGCCTCGTGGACCACGACGCGGCGGATACACCCATCGTCAGTCTCTTCACTCTGGCGATTCACCAGCTCTTCGGATGGCCAGCCTACATCCTGATCAACGCAGGAGCTGGCGCACAAAGCCTTACCAGAGGCCGTCGATCCACCGTGCCGACCTACAAGCAAAGCCATCTCGATCCCACTTCGCCCGTCTTCACTCGTCAAGAGCAGCCATACGTCCTTCTATCCAACGCAGGCATCGTGGCCGTCTTTGCAGTCCTCTATCAAGTCGCTCAGACCCTAGGCTACCGAAACACTTTCTTCTTGTACGGTCTTCCTTACCTCTGGATGAACCATTGGATCGGTAAGCATCTTTTTGGCCCAACCGTGTAAACAGCATTCACTAACCATGCAAGTCGCTATCACTTATCTCCACCACACGCACCCAGAAGCGCCTCATTACGAAGATGGGGCCTGGACTTACCAGAAGGGCGCCATGTCCACTGTGGATCGCGAATTCGGCTTTATTGGACGCCACATCTTTCACGGCATCATTGAATACCATGTCGTGCATCACATCTTCCCGTAAGTAGATTCGCTTTAACTAGTGTTGGATCTGAAACTGACAGCCCAGGCGCATTCCCTTCTATCACTGCGAAGAGGCTACGTTTGCCATTGCGCCGTTGCTTGGGGACAAGTACATTGCGCAAAAGAAGACATCTTTCCTCGCGGACCTATGGGAAGCCTTCACTACTGCCAAGTACGTGGAAGCTCGCCCCTCGAGCGAGCCAGGAGTAGTGCATTGGGCCAAGGCCTGAAAACTTCACACCGCTGTCCCGCATTTCTGAGGAAATTTGCGCCGCTAGCCGCATTCGGCCAGGTCTGGCGGACACACTCCACGGGGGGTAGATATCCCGAATCGAAGAGCGGTACACTTAGATACTTCACACAAATCAAAGGGTCTGCAGTAAGGGTCGCTTATAACATGGGCTTGATGGCTGGGATGAAATCGATGATGGCCCCGGAGTTCGTCTCAATCATGCCGATCGCCACGGCACGAAATAGGGGTTGGTCCCTCTTTGCCACCATGCCACAATCGGTAAGCGACGGTAAAATGCCCTTGGATTTGTGCGGTCACAAAAGTTGCTATCAAGTTTATAATGGCACGGTCATTTAATAGCTGACATGAGTATCTGGATCATGACATCATAAGCTCAGAAGCCAGCTTCACATAGCTTTCATAATCTTACTATTCGTGCTCTATCGCTCTGTACACCTCTTTATCGTTTCTGTTATCTAGAGCAGCTAAGTTCCTGCACAACGCGTCACTGCCTTAACCAGGTTCCAAAGCTGAGCAATGCAACCTTCCCCCATGGCACCTGGGCACTATCGACCATTCCTCAAGCCGCGAACTTATCGAGCTGTATCGACGAAAGCTCGTTCTGTGGCTTCGACCAAACAGCTAACAGCTTCACCAGCGACATAGGGTTTCCGACGATAGTCTGCCAGTGCAAAGAAGGACTCGCACAACATTCTGTCCGACCGATAGCTTTGCGAGTCTTGGCTCCTGCGAAGGATATACTTGGCATTCAAAGGTTCTGGGTTGATTTGGAGTTGAATAACACGCGCAATGAAGACATATTTACTTCTGAACTACTAACCTGCCCTGGGGCTTAGTCTCTCCACTTATGGGCGCACCACACTTCGCAAACACCAAAGACATTCTTTGTATCGCCCAATCGCTCTACGTCTAGGCATATCCCAACTTTGGAAACATCGCCCTCGCCTTTTTCGTCCATACTGCGCCACACCCCCACCAACCCCACTCCATGGACATCAAGGGCTTAGGACCTGACACTAGCTATTATAGTGGCTGAGCAAGCCTAATTCTATTTCCAGATCTAAGATGATTCACATCATTTGTCGTGGGATGATGCTTGTGCGGCTTTGATGCCGGGGTCCGGGTTTCGAGGGCCCTGTGATGGTCAGGCATGCGAGGTTTCAAGACATCCGCGCTCCGAGCCTGATTAGTGATCTGGCTCAGGGAGGCGGATGGGTATTCGAGGGTGGAATGTAGTGGATGAGAGAATGGGATACGTTTGTGCGCATGCTGGGTAGACATGAGTGTTGATAGTGTTGTGATAGATAAACGAGATGGTTAACAGGAGCAAGTTTTATGTAATGTGAAATGAACGAATTGTAGGATCATCAAGCTGTCAATCAACCAACAACGCCCACTATTTCGACAACTGGCAAATTACCTATCATCCGATTTCAACACACATTAGTAACAACAGATGCTACAGTCACGCAATTAAATCGGAAAAGGCATGGTATCAGAAATCGTGTTTCATTTCTAAGGCTTCTAAACCGAGGGTGATTTTGGCTACCGGCAGGCATCCTTGTGACCCTGTCGATACTCAGGCCCCTTAGTGTTCGTTCGAAAATTTCGAAAAGTCCCAACACAGAACGCCAATAGATGCGAAGAAAAGCTTTGGTTATGTACAGCGGAAAGTTCGGTCCCAGACCACATTCCCAGTCGAAAAAGGTGGAAGAAACGAATGTGTGAATGCAGTTATGTTTCAACATGTGTCGTGAGCGATGCGTATCATGAGGCATTGTGCGTTTAGTTGACAACGCGGCGGCTGGACCAACTAGGACGAGCGATGCGTCCGTTGTAACCACGCTTTGTGATGCTGCCGTTGACACAGGTTGTGCCGGCTGCGACGGCTTGCCAGACGACCTCGCCGTTGTTGCAGAGACCAAATTGATCGGCGCCGTTGCAGACCACAGAGCCGTTCTCGGTGCAAGTGCCCGCGCCACCAGCTGAAGGAGTTGAAGGCATAGAAGGAGCGGCAGGAGAGCCGGTTCCAGCAGGAACGGTGGGTCCGACCGGAGAGGGAGCAGTGGGTGAGGCGGTAACAGTAACGAGTGTGGTGGACGTCGATGGCACTGTGGGTGCGGCTGGGGGAGCGATGGATGCACCGCTGGAAGCTCCGGGAGCGAAGACACCACCGCCATTAGGTGGAAGAGCAGATGAGTCGCCTCCAGTAACAGATGTGGGAACGGCAGATGGCGATCCCGCGGCGGGGGCGGTAGGGGCAGGATGGTACTGACCATCGTTCGCAGAAGTAGGAGCAGCAGATGGCTCTCCACCAGCAGGAGATGAGGGAGCAGCTGAAGACTCGCCACCAGCAGGGGAAGATGGCTCAGCAGGAGTGGAACCAGTAGCTCCACAGCTACCAGTAGGGTCTTCCAAGTCGTTGGTAGCACCCTTCTCGACGTTTGAACCCGGGTTGGGAAACTTGGTAGCAAAGTTTTGAGGAGAGGTGCAACCCTCATTGATGTTCGCGACAAACATATCAGGAAGCTCGTTGAAAGCAGAGTCATCGCTAGCGCCACCAGTAACTTCGATAGGCGCACAGTTCATGTAAAGTTCTGGGGCTCCCGACATCTTCGAGAACCAAGTCCATGCAAAGGTAGCCTTGCCGTTGGGGATGCTGGCAGGAAGCTCGTAGCTGTACTCGCTAACTTGGCCATCGACACCAGGGCATCCACCTTCAATTGACTTGATAACCTTGAACTTGGAGTTCTCGGTAGGTTCGGTGTCCATGGTAACGCTGAGTTGGCAGGAACCGCCGCCATGGACAGCTGTGCCCTTGAACTTGATTGTTTGCTGCTCTCCTACGGCCATCTTGTTCATCTCGGAGACTGTGAAGCCAAGGTTGCTCTTGCAGGGGAATTGGGATTTGTTGATAGGGCCATTGTCGATCTTGTCAACGCTGTACGGAACAGGTTGCTCCATGATGATATGGGCGTTGGTGATGGCGAAGAAAGCGGCCGCAGCCATAACGGTGGATCGGACGGACATGATGCTGATGGTTGGAATGGGGAAATTGTACAACGGCAATTGCGATAGATGTTTGTAGAGAATGTAGGTGATCTAGACCTGCTAGTCGTGTAAATGATACTGCAATGCAAAGAACGTAGAAGCTACTAAGAGAGCGTGAGTTGTGATGGGAAAATCATGCTGCGAAGAAGCGGTCGTGTCTTATACTTGTGCCACCACCAACGTGGTGTGGATACTATAGCCATCGCGTGCCGCCACCAAAACCTCCACAATGCGTATGCTCGAATGATCCTCTAATCAAACGACCATACTGGAGGGTGACAGTGTAGACGTAAGACAAGGTACATGGAAGACGTTGGTGGTCCACAGCGGCCAGCGTCTACGGGATGAAACGGGCGGTCCGGGTATGCTGAGGCTCCCAGCCAAGGGAATGCGAAAATGGTGCAAAACCGACGCATGTACGTTATGCGTCGACGCCTAAGTGGGAAGGCCATGAAGACGTGGATTCGAGGATCACCATGTGTCGGTGCAGGGCCTAAAGGGGGAGGTTTCGTTTCGATGTTGCATCTGAGCAGCCATTGGTTAAGGCGTGGTCGCTTAGCGGGCCGGTAGAAGATCCGTACCCCTGTGTTTTATGGAGCGTCGCATCTCAGACTTCACGATCCCTGTCCAACGTGGCCGATTGGTGAGCCGCTTTCTCTTTCGCGGACGCCGATGGCTGCTCGTTTCTGGGTTTCGCTCCACTGCGCCTGGTGTCGACGCTTGTTTTCACTAGCATCCGCTTAAAGACTGACACATCTTCTCTCGAATCGCGCAAGGGACTGGCTGAGCTACGGCGCCAGGGTGTCGATTACCATTAGCTGTGGGCATTGCGTCGATGAACGATGACGCGGACGTTTGCTGCCCTGGAGGGATGATCAAATTGTTTGGAGGCCCATCTTCACTGACCCATCATATCCTAAACACCAGGATAGGCAATTACTTCCTGGGTGTGTCGCACTTGTTGACTGAGGTGATGTTAATTAGAGCTGTCCAGACTCAACGAATCGCCGTACCCTTTTTCTCGTAGGGGGGCCCACATCGTGCATGACGAAGAGCTACTGCGCCACAGACTGGACCGAGACGAGACGGAGGCTGCCTCTTAAAAGTACATGCGGCCTTTCTCAAGTTTGCGCTTCGGTGTGCCCGCAGCGAATGCGATATGCCCGATGTCCTCACTGGCGCGTACGTCGCCCACGTGCACATCAACGTCCTTCAGCAATCTTGCTCTTTCCATAGCATCCAAGGTGTTGCCTCCCGCAGGTAGATCGAGGTATGGATTTTCGTAGGTCATGCTTGTGACAAATCCAAACATCTCCGGACCAAGTGTCTTCCGCTTGAGAATCAACGACCCAACGCCGACCAGAAATATCGCAACTGCAGCTACGAGCAACAGACTCAGCCAAGCGAAATTGCAAAGGTAGATGTCATGTGTCCTACTAATTGTCGCGTTTGTCGTCGCTCCGATGAAGAATATTCCTGAGTCATACGTCGCCAGATTAAAGGGTCTGAACCAGTTTGCGAAGGTAGTGTTTTGGGTAGTTTCGTTTTGAAGTAGGTAGACATCGACATCGTTTACTGGCTTGGTATCAAGACCGAAAGCCGACGAGTTGCTTTGTGGAAGGTTTCCAAGATATGCGTTTGGTGCAATCGTAAGTTGGTAGTAGGTGTTCAGAACAAGAGATAGCCGTTTCGCAAAAACCTCCGGGCTTAGTTCTGTCAGGTTTACCCAACCTGGATTAATGCCCAGATTCGAAGTCGGTGAGGTTAATTGAAAGGACGTTGTGTTGTAGATGAACTGCTCGGTCGGATTGGATCCTCTAGACCAACCGAAAGCTTTAGGGAAAGCAGCCAGAGCCAGTTGCGAGATCAGGATGTGGTCGAAGGGAGTGACATGAGTATTCCGCAAGTCTGACTGAGACGGACGGACTTTGACAGCAGCACAAGTGTCTCTGTTGCACTCCACCACCGTTTCAGTATGACTCTGACCAAGAGAACAGTTAGTGATACTCAGACTTGTGTTTCCAAGTGGTCCGACTCCCAAGCTGGAGGCGTACGTGAGCTTTCGCATGGGAAATTCCTGGTTCGTCATCGATGTGTTTTTGTAACCAGCAAACGCATCAAAACGGCCGTCTCCATCAGTACCTCCATTGGTGAGCGGAAGGTCTGTCTGTAGAAAGAATGTCGAGCGCTTTCCTCCGGCTACTCTATCGTTGCCCCAAGGACTGTTCTCATCTGACGTGTTCTGCCATATCTGGCCCGGCACGAGCTTCTCGAGTTCAGTAAAGTCGGTTCTGTTTTCCACGGTACGCGATACCCATGGCTCACACTGTACGGTAAGCTGAGAAGTCTCCAAGCTAAAGCTCCCGTCCCGATCCACGGGGCGGCCGATGACAGGTATGCCGATCAAAGAGACGTAATCTTCAGGGCGTCGTTGGGTTAAATTAAGAATGGTCCATCTGTCTTTGCTGCCCCCGCCGAATTCAAGGTACGGTATTTTGACATTGCCCCAGATGTCCTGTGGCCCGTTTTTGACTTGTTCGGAACCCAATAATGCGGCAGCATACAATGCTTCGACTTGAGTCAGACTTCCATCGGTTTCAACGTAGGTACCGCTACTAATTGCCCACGCGGCGCTACCGGGGCCAGTAGAAAGGTAACGAAGAGGAGAGAAAGTTGCTATCGTATAGGTGGACTTGCTCATCAAACGTAGTGATGCCTGACCGCCTAGAGGGGACATTGTCCAAAGAAATAGCAGATTCGCACCAACAACGGTAATTCGTCGCATCAGTAGCTGGCTTTCGATCGTTCCCCATACAGACTGGCTTGCCATGAGTAGCTCGAGATTCTGACGAGTCAGTCAGTGATCATGACTGGCGCAAAATCGTACGTATGCTTCACTCGACTTACGCTAAGTTTGGTGCCTTTCTCCGCTAGGTATCTTGCAATCATTTTCATACTACGACCACTTATCGCCGCGAACATGATGGGAAATATAGTCGGGCCCTTAGTACATCAGCAGGTTGCAAAGATCTGGAAGCGGAGATCGCGGACAAGCTGGATAGCTGCAGTAACCTTATTTGCAAAAACATTGCCAGCAACAGGTTTACCATTCAGGGTTACGACTGCTATGCCGAGCACTATAGTATGTCAGCACGGGTATGGGGAGGCTCCTGTCGCAAACTGACAAACGAAGTATATGGGAAGCAAGACAAGGATGACATCCGCAACAAAATACAAGTATGAGATCCAGGTGCGCTGCTTCAATGCTCGTGCTTCGTCTGGCCAACTCGGCGTCCGCTTTACAGTCGCTTCGACCGATGTTAATTTCGACTCAGGTTGGGCTTGATTCGGATGATCTGAATATACGACTGTTGAGTCCATATTGTGTCGGTGGAACGAGCTCCAGCGCGAGACGTCGCTGACGTTCATGCTGTTGTTGTTGATTACGCGGTACGAGCGACCACAGTAACGTCAGGATGAGGCTGATAGTTCGCGCACAGCGAACGACGCTTCTTTTGCTTCCGCATCCTCATCCTATGCGGCGTAGTACCAGAGCAAGTCCTTAGCATAGCGCTAAATAAACTTTCCACTCGACATTTTAGGAGCGCGCTTCCTGAAGTCTCAGGTTGCATTTGGGGCGTTCCTGACGAATCGGTTTGTGTGGGGTGAAACGCGAAGCGCTTGGGCGGGTCTTGCTAAACCATTCTTCGCGACATGTGGAGAAATCGCGATTCTATCACATTGCATGTTGGCATTCGTGCGTCACTGCTTGCGGGAATGATGAGAGGCTCGGGCCGGGATGAGGCGGGTTTAGAATTGGTGGTTTGGTGGAGGAAGCTGGAGGGCAGTGCCATTGTGAAGTCGCTACAGCGCGGGAGCGTAGGGCTGAAGCGGCAGGCGCGACTACATCGCGTCCGGAGGCTCGCATCTCTACTCGTCCCTCACTATGAAATGCTATCATCATGCTATGAGGCACAGTATTAGACTGCAAGCACATTGAATGTATACAATGATGAGAAATCTATTTTGTAATGAGGCTGCACTACGAAGATGCGAGCTAGCTGCTGGGGTTATCACGGAAATCAAACTCAATACCAAGCCTTTTGGCGCCCGCTACGATGCAGAATGATGCCGCCTTCATGATGGACAAATATTACGCCAAACTGATAAATCCCACCTCCACTATGATCCCCGAAACCCGACTAGGTATCGAGGCTCAACCTCGGCTTGCAAGCATGCGATCCACGAATTGAACGTAGAAGTTGCGCCATTCTTTTTCCTTCTTCGGTCCCTCAAACGAGCCGGCGAGGGTGCGCAGGTATTGGTCCGCGCCGTCGTCGCCCACTCCCATGCCACCGAGATCGCTCTTGAGTCGCTCCACATACGGTTCGCCAACCTTCTTAATGATCTCGTGCTGCAGATTGGCGGCCTCAAAAAGGACTTGCTTTGCCTGCGCGTCTTTCGAGTTGAAGCCCGGCGAAGCCGGAATTGACCATGCCAACGGAGAAAACTTATCTACCACGTAGTTGTCGAAACCCGGCAATGGTGCTTGAGCAGTGTCGGGAGATGTGGGTGTTGCGTTCGCGCCAGGCCCGACTTTGTCGGGTCCGCCCCACACCGTGATCATGCGGATAAGCACAAAGATTGCAAGGCGCGCGGTAGGGTAGTCGTGTGTGTCGCGAGCGAACGTTTCGATCGAAGAAATTATGGGCTCGAATGTCGCTTGATTCACTGCGGAACATTAGCAGTGTCAAGTCTATATATGATGTTGTCGACTTACCATTGCTGACGAACACAGACCCAAGACCTTGGTTGAGAACAACGACGATGAAGTTCAGATACTCTCGACGGAGCTCAGCTAGTTGAATCTCGTCATCTGTACCCGAAGGAACTACAGCTAGTGCGGTAAATATGCGTTGCAAGACTGGACTCATGACGGTATCTAGAATGCCAGCGATCTCTGACTTGAAGGTGAAGACGACCTGACCAAGCACTTTGAGGAAGGTACTGATCTCGTCCATGGAAGAACTCAAAGAAAGGAGTCCTTCGATCCAGGATGGCAGCTGTTGTAGCAGACGCGAGCCTAATACGGCAATCATGCGCGAGAAAGCGAATCTTGCAGCGTGTCGAATGGAGCCAGATGAGTTCAGTGATTCAACGGCGACGAGGATAGCCTCAGATGCTTTGACGAACTCATCCGCCACCTCACTCTGGGGCGCGACGCTGTTGTTGTTTGACGGTACCCAGTCTGAGTAGCCTCGAGCTAGCGTACCTATGGCCATGATGATATGGTGAATTTGGAGTATAGCCCGCTCATCACCATTCCTCGCCTGGGGAAGAGTCTGTTGCATGTCTGAGAACAGAGGGCTCATGATGGTCTGCGCGTAGAGTCTCTTGTTCTCCGCGGAGACGGTGTTGGACGAAGCGATGCAGCCCACGGCTTCGAAAAGGTACAGCTGCGAGTCGAACAGCGCATCCGCCGACTGATCCTCTTCATCGGACGACATCTCATCTTCTGAAGTATCTGGTAGCTCAGCTTTGATGGCAAGCAAGTCTCCAACCGCTTGAATGATGTCGTAGGAGACGTTGCCCAGTTGGGCCCGCAGATGCTTGACTAAGCGTTGGAAGAGATACCAGGATCGCGAGCGGACCTTGACATGGTTGCTATGGGTAAGGTTGACAAAATTCTCAAGTACCTTGGGGATGAGGCCAGGATTCTGCTCGAAGAACTGATAGTAGCGTACGCATATCTCCATATACTGCAGCTGAACAGCAGGGTGCGGGTAGTTTGCTAGACCAGATTCGACCATGCTGTTCATCATATTCACGAGTTGCTGAGCTGCAGCCGATGAGGGCTCGCGTTTCGCATACAGTCCCTGGTTTCTGACTGCAAGTTCTCCAAATAGATACATCTCATACAGAGCCAATTCGAGGTCGCGCCAGTTCAGGGATTGATCGCCTTGAGATAGGCGTCCAAAGGTTCCGTTGACTAAGCGACTGAGTGTCTCGATGTAGTAAGGCTCGTCGATGGCGGTTACTGTTTGTTGCAGGACGTGGAGGCGTCTGCGGAGATCGAGGAACTCTGCTTCGTCTGTCTGTTCGCCTTCCTCACCCCATGAGGCTGTCTCGTCGTACTTCATTTTTGCAATGATCGCATCTAGAACGGGTGGTAATACTGCGGCGTATTGTGGAGGTATCGATCCAGACTTCTTTTGCAATTTGCGGAGGAACGTAAGGAGATCTGTAAGAGATGGGATGACAGTCGAGCAGACCTCGTCGTATTGGTCAGCGAAGAAACGTAAAAGGTAAGGCGTGAAGATGCGAATGAGATCGTCTGCGCGTTGCCGAACATGCTCCTCGACAGCCTCGTTCTCTAGTATCTTTACGATATCGAATACGATGTTGTTCACGAGCTTAGCGACAGTCTCGGCAAGGTCGTTGTCGTAGTTCGAGCTGTTGAAATCGGCCAGAGCTGGGCTGCTGATCAGCTGGCCGACGACTTCGGAAAGATTTAGGAAAGTGATTAATTCAATCTTATCCGATGGGCTCATCTTCTTCCCGACGATCTCTGAGAATGTATCGATTGCCGCATCGCGCACCTTTCCAGCAGCGCTCTCGGGATCAGCGATTCCTTGTTGGCCCGCCATTTCCAGGAAAGTTGTGATCATGGCTTGGTTGACAATCAAGTTGATGTCGGTCCAACTAACCCAGCGCCCGATAGTCTCCAGGCACATCTTCACAAGATTCAGGTCTGTCTCCCTCCACTTCGCGAGTATTTCTTGCCAAGATAACGAGATCTTCTGCGCGTCCCGTTGCCGGATGAGGTCTTTCAGCTCTGTGTTGCGCTTCTTCTCGTCCTCTGGGCGGGCGACCAACTGGTCAGCGATTTCGTCGTGCACTTGACCGAGCATGCGAAGGTATAGCAACGTCGTGGCTGTATTGACGTTTCCGATGGTAGACTGGTCGCCAGCCAAGGCACGGAAATCGTCGAAGAAGGACTGCCATGAGGAAGGGTATAGAGCTACGAAGAGATAAGTGACAGTCTGCATCAGCTTGTTCTGGATATGGCTTGTGTCTGCAGCTCCACTGCCCGGGACGTAGGATCGGTGGATATGGCCCATGAGGGTATCCTTGATGTACGCAAGACTCTGCTCATCGAGGCGATGTTCTTGGATCGCGTTGTTCACAAGGTCGAGCGACGTATGGCGGACAAAGTCGGTGGGACGAGGGTCGCGCGCGAAGAGTGTGAGGGCAGCTTGCCATGCGGAGCCTTCGGCACGGAGCTGGTTCAGGTATTCGATAGCCTGACCGCGCAGCTCCTGGCTCGACGTCGGATTTGCGGCGATCTGGATGGCATTTTCGACCTTTGAAATGGAGTGTGAGTATATGCTTCATGGATCGGGCAAACAATGGTACGTACCTGGCCCTCCATTTCCTCGTGTTGTCAAAGCTGAGCAAGCAGGGTTGAGTCACAGGTTGAGTCGGTGTGGTCTGCCCTATAGATTGTACATCGGACGTGGTGGGGTAGGAACTATGAGCGGATTGGTATGCTACCGGACCATGGAGCAAACTGTGGAAGACTGCATCACGAAAGCGTTACAGCGGTGTAGGCAGAGGCGGGGCACGAGGGGCTGACGTACGGCGTGTGCAAGGGTTCGTGCGTGAAAGAAACAATGGCCAGAGCTCAGGGTCTATGTGCCAGGCGATTAGGGTACCGACTGGAAAAAGCAAAAGTTGTTCTCCGTCTTCGTCGAGGCGTCGAGGCCGAAAACAGCTGTGCAATGACTGAAGTGGCAGCGCCAAGCCCGGGCCTGGTGGGATGTTCTCGCGCCCAATTTGACCGTGTGACACGTGCGCACGAGATTTTGGTTTCGACACCGCCACGCGCATTGCTGAAGATTTAATCGTCATTTACGCTGCTTTCAGACAACGACCAGGTGCCCGTCGAGTATGAGAGCCCCCAGAAGGAGGGCCAGCAACGCAGTCGTCCCTCTATCATGCTTATACATTTGAAGCCCGCACTCTATAGCGAATTCACGGCGGCAAGAGCTGAGATACAATTCGGTGTTCACGTGCAAAAAGTTGATCAACCCAATAAATCACGAATGAGTAGTCAAGTCTTTCCAGATGTGTACGGATTCTATTAGGTTCTATAGTTTCTCTCTGATACACGAGCCGCTTCTGTAGTAGTGAGCAGACTGCTATTACAATCGGTGTCACGTCTACTTACTATGCGCCTAGATGCTTCGCCGCCCACTCGACGTGATCGTCAGCAAATGTGGCCATGAAGTAGTAGCTGTGATCGTAATCGGGCTGCATGCGCAGTTGAATGCCCTTGTCATTGCCAGCTTCCTTGGCTGCCTTGACGAAGTTCTCCGGTAGAAGCTGGCCTTGCTTGTAGAAGTTGTCTCCAGTGCCCTAGCTCAGTTAGTAAAACGACACAAGACTGTCGCATATGATACGCACCACATCGATGAGCATCTCAAGAGGACCCTTCCATTGCTTGACCAGCTCTGACGCATCATGCTCCTTCCACTTTTGTTGCTGGTCCTCGCCAAAGTATCCCTTGAAAGCTTTTTGGCCCCATGGGCAGTTGATGGGGTTGGCGATGGGTGCGAATGCAGAGACAGACTTGTACATGCCGGGGTTCTTGAGGAACTATCGATGGTGGTCAGTCTAGTCCTCCTGGTATGCAAGCAGCTGACCAACCAGTGTCAATGCGCCGTGTCCACCCATGCTGTGCCCTGTGATGCTGACTTTGCTGGAATCTAGCTCTTTGAAAGACGAGAACAGCGCTTCGGGGAGCTCTTTGGTGATGTATGAGTACATGTTGTAGCCCTTTGACCATGGCTCCTTGGTGGCATCGACGTAGAAACCTGCGCCTGACCCGAAGTCGTATGACTCGTCTTCACCTTCGATCTGTAAGCCCCCTAGTGAGTGGGTTAGTCAAATGCTCCGCGTATAGTCTCACGGTAGGCACGCACTCGGTGAAGTATCAGGGTACACGACAGCGATGCCATGTTTGGCTGCGCCGTGCTGGAAAAAACCCTTTTCTGAGCAGTTATTGCCGGTGCATGTGAGGCCGGAAAGGTAGAAGAGAACTGGGACCTTGGCGCCGGACTTGAGTGCTTGTGGAGGCAGGAACACGTTCAGCTCCATGTCGGTGTTTGTGCTTGAGGACTTGTGCTTCAACTTGAGAAGCTTGCCGCCGAAGGATGCGATGGTGCCTGTGGTTTCGAAAGACATCTTGGACAATGTGGTATAGCGAGAAAAACGAACAGTAGGAGGTTGGAATGCAAACGCAGGTCGAGGGGCCCTTGGAAGTTTTGTGAGCAGGCGCATTGAGTGACGTTGTGCCTGAAATTAGTGCGGGGGACGAATAGCTATGTCGAGCTACCCCACCTCCCTCTAGACTTTTGGCTTGTTACAGAAATCTTATCCGCGGATCCGCACAGGCAACGGACAAGGCTTGGAATTAACGGAGATCGGGTGAGACTCGGGATATAATTGCGCAACCACTCAGAGACTCCTTTCGCCGAAATACCCCATATTTAGCCAAACAAAACTCCATAGCAAATGCAATCAGCCACACCACGCTTCATGTCAGAAGCTCTTCGCAAGTCCAGTCCTCGTAGAAACCATCGGGGAGGTACCGCCGTACAACAAGGGGAATCTTCTTCTCTTGGAGCTCTTTCGCAGCAATTTGCAGAGGGTCCGTCATTCCCTCTACGTCGATCAGCACGGGAGCGTTACCACTGCAATCTCATTAGTCCTTGTACATGCAACCTCCCTCTGAAGGTAGTCTACCTGATCTGAAGTGCTCTTGTGCCCAAGACGCGTGCCTTCTCGTACTTTGTCATGTATGGGGTGGTTGTGCGCTTGTCGTTCGGAACCTTCTTGTCCTTTTCGCTTGTGACTGTGTTCTTGGAGGCTTCCTTGGCAGCAGCTGCCGCGTTGGCATCGCCAGATACTACTACGTTGTCGTCGTTGGGTTCGGCATTGTCTGGGTCTTCACCGCCGCCAGGCTGGTCGTCTTCGTCGTCCATCAGATCAGGCTCGGCCTCTTCGTCGAACTCGATGAGGGGCTCGTCACTACTGAAGTTAGAATCGGCGGGACTGTCTCCTACCGTTCCCCTAGCTGATGCGCCCGGTGGAGGAAACCCAGAGATGGAGCTGAACGTACATGTCACCGGCGCCGCCGTCGTAGTCGTCACCGCCATAGTCGGACATGTTTGCAGCAAGTTTCTACGCGCGTGCGTGTCTGAGGAAGGGATGCCGAGAGATGGAGAGGTACGCGTGGAGTATGGGGTGTATGCCTGGTGCGATGCGACTGGCAAAGAAAGTTCGCGATCAGAAATCGCAGGGGTCGGCGTCTGCACTAGCGTGGGAAATCTTGGCGGTCGCAAAATACAGTGGAGCTCGACTTTCGTCCATGGTTCTGCGCATCCACGAGCCGCCTTGCAACCACGCGCACGTTGTATGCAATACTATGGCGCCGAAGCGGAGAAACACCGAAGACGCTGGTGTGGCGCCACAGAAGAGGTCTCGCAACAGTACCGTAACCCCGAGCACCGTGACGTCGATCCTGAAGGCTAACATTCTCGGAGGTGTTGCGGAGGACACACCCGACCAGGACTATGCGACAGACGACTCTGCTGATTACAAGGTCAATTTCACCGACAACGGCACTTTGAGGGCAGAGAGCGAGGCCCGTCGCCAATGGAACTACGTCTGCCCAACCTGCTCGCAACGCTTCAACCGACCATGTCGCCTCGAGACACACATGCGAAGCCACAACAAGGAGCGACCATTTATCTGTACCGAGCCCGGCTGCAACAAGACGTTCCCTCGTAAAGACCACTTACAGCGTCACCTCAAGAACGCCCATCGCGACCCTGCGACCGAGCGGACATTCACATGCGATTGGACCGGGTGTGGCAAGAGTTTCACCTCCAACGGCAGGCTCCAGAGGCACAGAGACGTCCACGAATCCAAATTCTACTGTACCGACTTCCCCCCGTGCAACGAGGCTTTTAGGAAGGCGAAGGCGTTGGAGGCACACGTCAAGATCCAGCACATGGACGTCAAGCCCTTCACTTGTTCTCACGTGGATCAAGAGAGCGGCGAGAAATGCGCGAGTGGCTTTCAGACTGAGGGCGCATTACAACGGCATATGGGCAAGACACATGCAGACATACAAGGGCAGGGCCACTTCTGCATGCTGTGTGCGACGGCTGGAGTAGACGCGGACACAATGCAGAGCGAGTCTGTTGACACATTCACCATCCCGCCACACTTACCGTCTTTCGCGACAAAAGACGAGCTGAACGTGCACACAGCCGAGTGTCACCCACCTGTATGTACACAGTGCGGTCAGAAGTTCAAGACTGCATCCAATCTCAAGACACACTTCGACACCGTCCATGGGCACCCACAAGAACAAACGCAGTTCGCTTGTCCCAGACTAGGCTGTGAGAGTGTCTTCAATCGGAAACACAACCTCACTGTTCACATTCAGACGGTCCACGACAAGCAGTTCAGGTACTCATGTACCCCCGATGCTCTGCAGAATTCAAAACACCCAGATCTCCAAGCCTGGAACGGAGAGAATGCCTGTGGCGCCTCCTTCAAGGCCAAGTCGTCTCTCGATCAGCATGTTCGGAAAAATCATCTTGGTCTCGGCAACCGCAAGCAGCTCCGGAAGGCCGCAAAGTCAAAGAAGAAGCCGGAGCCTTCGATGCTTACCATGCTTACCGGTGTTGGCTATGAGCAAGGCCGCGAGGTGCCCTGTTTGGTGAAGACGTGCGAGTACCGCTTCTACATGGACCGTGATTTACGCCGTCATCTGCTCGCAGAGCATTATATTCCCGAGGACGAGATCGAAGACATGATACAGGAGCGCGATGCTGTCAGTGGAGGGCAGTTCTGGATTGGTGGGTTCGACGACTCAATGAGCATGTTCGACTCTGCTACGCCCAGCATCCCAGAGACGCCTGCTCCATACCTCATGGAGAGCAACATGCCGATGCTACCATATTCTGACTTGAAGAGCATGGATGGGCAAAATGCTTTATTCGATCAGCAATTCGACCAGCTCTCACTCATAAAGGATGACGCTGAGATGGACATGGCGATGGGGTTGGGTCACCTGCCACCAGCCACGGACGCCCAAGAGAGTTTACAATGGGACATGCTAGCCCCCGTTGAGCAGTACAACAGCGATCTCTCTCGTGGCTGAGACAGCGATGCCTGTCAGAGCTGCCGAATGCAATCGTCTGTGGAAGTTGGTGGAGGTTTTCCCATGCCCGATGTGATGGCCGTCAATGATGTTTTCACGAGTTTCACGAGTTAGCAAGATACCCAAATAGTAATTAAATCATGTCAAATACGGGAGCGTCCGATACTCCTGCCATGAACCCCAGATCGCAAACTTCCCCATTCGGCCTGTCAATCATGCCAAGCCGTCGATTCTAGCGAACGGCGTTCGGTCGCTACTCGATCGCCGTAGGGGCGGGGAAAAGCTCCGTAGGATCCAGGCGATCGGGCTGCTAGTCCTAGTCTGCCACACCTTTTCTTCACGCCCAAAGCTATGGTTCACTAGTCGACGAGATTGTATTAGCAGAGACCTTATTCTAGTGTGGGCGCCTGGGTCAGACCAGATCTATGGGAGTATCGTTACATTTATATTTTGGCTTTCCAGAGACGGTGGGTTCAGTGGCTGCAGACTTCATTGTAAACTATCTCATTACAATATAACGTATAACTAGTTATCCAATCAAACAAGATTGGTCTGTTACATATAAGCGGAGCATTTCCCGTTTTAACAACATCTAAAAACCGTGTGAAGAAAATGCGTCTTTGCAAAGGTACAAAAAGGGTATAAAGTCGCGAAGATGGAAACCCGCCGATGCCGCAAAGGATGGAGAATGACTGTGCGTCTGAGCATTTGTGTTCAAGTAAACGCCTCGCTACGCTGTAAGATGCTGACGAAAATGGTGGTGCTGCCCAAATCGATGTCAATGGGACGAACAGATATCGCACAGACGGGAGGTGCGATGTTTCAGAAATCAAGAGCAGCCAAGGCCGTCGCATCATGCCGCAGCCTTGATGTACTGAGCTAGCAAACTTGCTTCAGGTATGGAAATCGTGTGATCTGCTTTGCGAGGTGGCCAGTCTTCGTGTTCGAGTTCTACCGTCAGAGTCGTGTCGTGCTGCGCTTCCCAGTCACGTCGCCATATTTCAAACCTGAGATCCCACCTTTGTAGAAGCCTCTTTCTTCTTAATTCGATAACGGTTTCAAGCCTTGCCAGCTCCTTGTGATATTCCGCTTCTTTTGCAAACTTCCTTTTCTCGTGCTCAATGCCTAATTGCTGTAGCTCTGCTTCTTGTGCTTCTAGTCTTCGTGCGGTGTCCATCTCTTGCCTTGCTCGTAAGACGTTGATTGCACTCGCGTGTCGTCTGGGAAGATCCTGTTGGATCAATCTTTGGTGGTCCAGCTTCTTCAAGTCTTCCTCCGACACAGCATGCACACGCTCTTGGTTGCTTCTCGTACGTAGGCAATACGCCTCAATATACTTTAGGGCTGTCGCTACGTTCTGTGTCTCTTGAGCTTGTGCTTTCAACAGGTCGTGTTCAGCGAG